TATGGTTCTGGATTGATTCCATTCCACTTTCTTGCTGCTTTCTTGCCATTTTGAGACCCCAGTGTGATAACGTCCACTGTAGCAGATTAGGGTGAAAGAAAATGGCTTAGCCATGAAATATAGGAAGTGGGTTTCATGATAGGTTAAGGATTTTAACTTGGACTTATTTTATAATTGGTCCTCCGTATCCATGGATTCTGCACCCACAGAGTCAATCAAATGCAGTTTGTAAATATTAATCAAACAAAATTTTAAAATCCAAAAAGCAAACAATTGTATATAATAGGACTTGAGTATCCATGGATTGTTGTATCCACAGGGGGTGGGGGTCCGTCCATCCGTCCGTCCGTCCGTCCGTCCGTCCAGGAACCAAACACCAGCAGATGCAGAGGACCCACTTTATAAAGACAGTTTCAACCTCTAAACTGTTGTCACGTGCACATTGCCCATTGCTTTCAAGATTTCCCTTTCTAACTGTGGCTGCACTGTTGGATATTTTGGAATGATCTTGAATATTCAAACTGCCCAGTAGCAAGTTGCAAGGAATAGTAATACTTTGGGATGGATAAAAACTTAATTGGAACTGAAAATCTTCCTAAAAGTAGCCTTTTCACACCTCCTTAGGCTCCCTGTAAGAGAAAACTTGACTAAAAACTCTGTACACTTGCAAGGAGGTTTTGCAAAAATTAGTACACACAAAAGAATATGCAGCTTGTAAAATGTATCCAGTTTACAAACATTGTTTAGTCAACTAGGGATATGTATCTGTTAGTTAGATTGTGCACGTTAATATTGTTGCTGTTGTTGTTGCTGTGTGCCTTCAAGTCATTTGCAGTTTATGGCAAACTTATCATGGTTTTTTCTTGGCAAGATTTGTTCAGGTTTGCGATTGCCTTCTCCTGAGGCTGAGAGCATGTGACTTGCCCAAGGTCACCCAGTGGGTTTCATGGCCAAACAGGGACTTGAACCTGTCATAGCCCAACACTTAAGCCACTACACCACACTGGTGCATAATAGAAATAATGTGTTTTTTTTTATAAAATGCATTCATCTCCTTGAAAAATAAACCCAATCAAACTCCTAATAACTGACTCAGAACAAGGAAGGGAAATTCTAAGAAATACAACAGAATCAACACAAAGAGATTTTTATACCCTGGAATAAAACATTGAAAAAGACTGCCATTTCTTTTAAAAGATTAACAATAATAAGCAGAGGTGGTCTGTGTTATAAGAAGGATATAGGAATAATAAAAATGGTGCTGAGTCAAAAATAGAATGAGAAGAGGCCAGAGTGTACAAATAGGAAGGTGAAGAAAGAGACAGTGGTGGCAATGTCCAGCAACGTTGGAAGATTAAGAATAGGTTGGAAAAGTCATAGGCATGAGAAGAAAAGAGAAGCTGAAGGAAAACCTGACACAGGGATCCAAGAACAGGAGAGACTGTATTAGTTTGTCACCTCTGGCCTAGGCGAACAAAGCAAAAAGGAATGGATGTTGGTGTGACTGTGCGTAATTTCACATCATGATTTGAACTTGCCAGTTTAGCATTTCTGGCATTTATTAAGGACTTTAATTGCCAGCAATTTTCCTCAGGACAGGGAGTTTTTCACCATTACACCACCCCAAATAACCACCATACCACCCCAAAGATACCTGATCTCATATGATTTTGGAAGTTAACCCAGGTCAGGTCAGGTTAGTATTATAATAGGAGCCTACTGGTGAAAACCAGAAGATCTCAAAAACAGACTAGGAAAAAAAATCATGGCTGAAACCCTCACAAGCCACTGACTGTCAGAGCAGACAATACTGGACTCAAAGGACCAAATGTTCTGACTCTTAGTTTTGCAAAAACAGCAAAGAAGGGCTATCAAAATTCATGACATCCAGGATCAACAATAAGGAAGTAATTAACAAGTTTGTGTTCTACCCAAGTGCCATACAGAAGTACTGATTATAGTTAACTTATTAGCCATATATTTCCCTGTAAAATTAACATCTTGTCCACATTGTCATAAAAGACATGATGCACACATTTCTGTCTTTATGGAAGGCCCACATCACAAAATATGGGGGTTTTTTTGGGGGGGCAACCCCAAATTTTAAAATGTGAGGTGGAAACTGCAATAAGAGAAATAGTGAAAAACAAATGACCAGGAACAGATGATATTCCAATTGAACTGCTGCAATCCACATTGACAGCGTCAACTCTAGTGCTAACCAACATATGTCAACAGATATGGAAAACAAAGGATGACCAACAGATTGGAAGCGATCAATATACATTCCCATCCACAAAAAGGGAGACACAAGACAAGAGACTGTAGCAACTATAGGACCATAGAACATTTTACTGCATATCTGTTCAACTTGTATGCAGAACATATTATAAGAAAAAAAGGCTTGGACACAGAAGAAGGAGGAGTGAAAATAGGAAGGAATATCAGCAATTTAAGATATCCAGATGACACCATAATGCTAGCAGAAAACCTCACAGACCTGGAAAGTTCTGTTCCTGGTGATTTGTTTGCTATTTCTCTTACTGAAGTTTCCACCTCACTTTTTAGAATTTGGGGTTCATCTTCATATGGCTCTTCTCTTCATGTGTCCTTCATTTTGTCATCTTTTTTGTATAATTCTTCTGTGTATTGTATCCAATGTCTTTTTATTCTTTCCTGGTTTTTAATTATGTCATTTTTATTGTCATAGATCATCCATCCCAGTCCTTGGCTTGAATTTTTCTTTGATTTCCTGGATCTTGTGAGATAAATCTCTTGTTCTTCCCTTTTTGTTGTTGTCTTCTATTTCTCTGCATTGGTCGTTGTAGTAATTTTCTTTGTCTTTCAGCACAAGCCATTGTACTGTTGCATTAATCATTCTTAGTTTGTTTCTTCCCATCTCCCTTTTATTTTTATCTTCTTTTCTTTATTGTTTGTAGTGTTTTTTCTGTCATCCATGGTTTGTTCTCTATGAAGAAGAATTTTGTTAAAAAAAATACTTATTTTTTTAAACAGATACCCCTACTTTCTCCTCCCACTGAGCCTTGCCCCACTCACACCATCTCTTCCACTGAGCTTCAGTGTTTTAAAAGGATGTAGGCAAGTGCCACAGCCCATTTCTGCCAAAAGGCAGATGTTTGGTGTCACCCACCATTAGGGTGTTACCTGGTGTGGTCCAAAACTCTCACACTATGTAGTGATGCCCATGGATGTGAGCCTGCTTCTCCTTTGCATAGTGTGTAGCAGTGTAGGGGGGAAGCCAAATGGAAAAATCCTGCTGTTCTAACTTTATATTCCATAGTGGAGTGTTTCTCTCAATGAAATCCTGGGAGTTACATAGAATGATATGAAGTGCAGTAGGTTATACAGAATCAGTGAAATAGGCCTTCTTTAAAAATGGAGAGGAGAAGGGTGAGAGAACAATATAAAATCCTTGGCAGAAGCATTCCTCCTGCAATCTTTCTGACCTTGACCTGAACTCCTTGTCCCCCTCCCTGCCCTGCTGCAAACATAATTTAAGACACAAGCAAACCAGCTTTTCTTTGCTATCCTCTCCATTACTGTACTCTTCCCTCTTTTGTGGGTGTGGACCTCAATAAAATGAGTGATTTATAGTTGGGCTTGGCTTAACTAAAACACACACATAGAGAGAAAGAGACAGGAAAAGCCACTAACTGAGCCCCTGCTTGCTCTCCAACATTTAGATATCAGTTTTAAGACAAATGGTGACTTCCTTGTTGAAGTGCAACCAACAAGTTTGTAATAGCAGTCTGGAGAAGGAACTGTGAACAGGGTTGTGTGGTCACCACCACAGCGAAATAATTCAGATTCTGCATCCAGGCAATCTTACATTCTGTGCTAAGCAAAACAAAATTCTGCCACCTGTATGGACCTTATCACACGCGGGGCTCAAAGCGGCAAGAAAGCGATA